TCCCGCGCCCTGACTGTTAGCTACAGTCCGTCTTTTGGGGTGACAGTTGTCATAACGCTGCGACGCCTGAAGAACGTCGTTACAGGCATATTATGTTTAGTATGGTTATAAAACTCATCGGATATACAATTATTATGGTATTATGCTTTTATGAACGAGTAGCTATTAAAACTATTCTTCATCTAATAAATGCGATCTTCGTATAGTTTTACTATATAAAACTATGACACAACTTTTGAGAACGTCGGTTTCTTGCGATTTTCGGTCTTAGAGACTGCCAATTATATTAGGAAAATAAGGGTTTCTCCTGCATACAAACCAAACAACTAATAGGAAAATAAGGGATTTTCCTGGTGCAATTATTTACAACTTATAACACGAACATTTATATGCATTTCATACTTTTATAAGAAAATAAGGGTTTTCTTGGAAAACACAACAACTCGTATCTCAACCATTAGGGAAAATATGGGATTTTCTGGATCTAATACATTCACTTTCAACACAACAAATCACAACTCTTTACATTTGAAATGCTGCGTTTTCTGGAAAATATACACCCATTTTGGAATGGCATCCAATTTTTCTAAACTACTTATGAACTCACCAACTTAATTGTTGACACTTTTTCTTTGAAATAACTTGTATTCTCAGGGAACCGCTAAGCAGGTTTGGGAATCAACTTTTGGGAATTAACGCGCTGGCGTTAATTACTTCTTTTGGATGATGTTTATGTATTTATCTTTTGAACATGTAATGAATACAATTATGTAAACATCTTGGAAACTTTAATATATATGGTGGTGTGTACTTTCCTTTCTATGAACTGTTATGATACTGAATATGACGTCCTCCACCCCTGAACGTTTCCGCCGTTCTGGTTTGGGGGTGTGACAGATCACTTTCCCTCCTAACTTTCTTTCTGATTTTGGAGGATTTGGAAAGAAAGAACAAAATGATTCATTTTCCTTCCACTTCTCTCCAACTCGGGAACACAAAAGAAAATTGTGTTTTCCTTTCCTTTCTCTCATGACTTTCTTTTCTCTTCTCTTCTTTTCTTTTGTTAAACTCGGGAATGAGGCGTTCGTTTTCAATCCTCGACTCATGACTTGTAATCGTTCGAAATTGATCCTCAATTCTTCGTTTTCACAGACTTCGTTACTAATCAGCAGACTTCAAACCTTCAAAATCGATCAAACTCAAAAACTAAGCCTTCCCATTTGATTACAATCAACACTTTACATCGAAATCGATTTCAACTTCAAATTCCCAATTATTCACATTCAAAAACCAATAAGCTTTTGATTTGAACTAAAAACCATACACGTTCGATGTAGTCCCAATACAATTTCGATTAACCAAAGACAAATATAGTTGATTTATTCGATTAAGGACTCATTCAACTCAAAATCAGAAATTGACTCGAAGCAACAATATTAGGATGCAAGCGAACAAGATCAAACACGATCCACAAATGACTCCAATGAATACACTCGAATTAGACTCAACAACAATCATTGTCAAGATCGAGTTTGACTCCAAGTGTGTTTTCTATCCTGTTCAGTTTCTTAAAACTTACTATTGGATACCCCAAACTAATAATGAATTGATCAAAAACAAGTCAACATTTGACTCTTATTCACTTTATTCATCCAACATCGAACAATGTTATAAACAGATTGAGTTAAAATGAACAGTGATTGGATTTGGGCTCAATAATAGATGAATAGTAACTCAACCAAAGAAAAGTTGAGTTTTACTTTGGGATTTGGAAAAATTGATTTCGAAATATGAATAGTGTTTGATTACAACTATTGGATCAAAATGAATGAAATTAAATTTTGATTAAATTTTGAACTTGTGTTTGGCTAGATCAATTTAACAAAAAATATTTGGATCGACAATGGGGTTCAAAAGGATTTGATCCAATGAGACAAAGCGATCAAAAATGAATAACACAAAGCACGAATCGTAATCAAGAACGTCTTGGAATCCTTCGAGAATTTGAGATACCTTTTTGACGATCTGAGTTCCATTTACAACGACCGAATCTAACTTTGAAGATCTTGGTTCTTTTGTTGGTGTTGATTATGATGACATATGTGGAATTGATTAGATGTAGTGAATCAACATAAGAATCATGAACACAAGGAGTAAATAAAATATAGTTTAAGCTCTCATTAGATCCAGAAAGGAAATACACTGTGGGTCTTGTATAATTCTCTCTATAGTTTAACTCTTCAAATGAACATTGTACCACCTACGATGCATGTTGTACAACTCATTCTTCATGTTCTTCAACGAACTAAGAACATCTTCACAAGAACCATCAAAACTTTTTGGTTTTGACTTCAAATTCAATGCACCGCTTGATGATTGTTGCTTTGGAACCCAAATTTGCTTCATGGATTTTGGCTTCACAACAACATTTGACGATTTTTTTGAATTAACCTGATTGTTCTTATGTTTGATCTTCTTATTCTTTTTCTTTCTCATCTTTTTGCATCTTGAATATTTGAATTTAACAACAACTTCATTCTTGATAACTTCAACTTTCCAAGTTTGAATCAAATCTTTTGGTGTTTTATTTGATATTTGTGAATTTATTGGATTAATGCCTTTCGATAAGGAATCATTCCTTCAAAGGAATCACCAGACTCAAAATATCATCGGTTTGAACTCCAATCAAGCAAAAAAAAATTCATCTTCATGAGAATCAACTTGAATCTTCTTGTCATGAACTTTAAGAACATCACATTGAACTCCATAATCCTGAACTTCAACATACTTAAGAGCATGAAGATCACTTGAGTTTTCAATAAGAGAAATGTATTTCGTATTAAACAAATCTCTTTCTTTTCCTTCCTTTTGATTTTCACTCGAAGACACCATGATCAAGGATATTTCAACCAATCATCCAATCTTCTAAAGTGGTTGAAAAATGAATCTTCTATGATCATCCTTCAAAGCTCCATAAGAAACCATAGTACCCTATGAAATCAAGCCACCTTTCAACAATAATCTATAGAATTTTTTTTTGTTAACTTTGTGTTTGACATCTTCAATGATCACGACCCAAGAATCATAAGACAAGTACACCATCATTGATCAATCGATAAGATCTTGATTTTTTCTAGAGAAAGAAAGTGGTTTTGAATGGGTTTTCTAGAGAAAAAAAAACCAAAAATCACTTGAATTCTAGTGAAGAAAATCGAATTATGAATTCAATCAGTGATGAATTCGATTTCTAGAATCCAAAAACTCTCTAAAATATGATGATTAAAACACAGTGAAGAATCACCAAATCAAAATTTTCATCATGGATCAATTCTTGATAAAATCAAGAACACCCGCTCTAGTATCAATTGTGCTAGTGTTGATTATGATGACATATGCGAAATTGATAAGATCTAGTGAATCATTGTAAGAATCATGAACAAAAGGTGTAATATAAATATGTTTTAAGCTTTCATTAGATGTAGAAAGAGAATACGAAGTGGGTCTTGTACAATTATCTCTCTAGTCTAACTCTCCAAATGAATGTTACATAAATGAGTGTCACCCACTTCCAAATTATATGAAAGACAACTCATTACATAATACAAGATGGTAAGCACAAATTTACATCCAAGCGTGACTTTGCACCCTAACAAGGATGAGAAAGGATTCGTTCATCATTGGGTTTGGAAAGCCCTACTAAAGTTGGGTTCGGTTGCCTTTGGGAAGGCTGTTGTATGACTGGGGTTATTGTTGTGTTGCTTATGCAGTCTGGCCTGCCTGGGATGGTAATGAATGATTTCAAGGACGAAATTTGATTCAAGTATGGGAGAATTGTAACACTTGGGAAATTGTAAGTTTCATATGTAAGCCCTAATAAAAAAAAGTTTGCAAAATGGACCTTAAGGCTAGTATATCGGGGGTAAAAAGTGGTACGCTTAATGCACTAGCCCGATGCATGATCACGTCTTTGCACACATATGCAGGGTGTATGCTTATGTACACGGGGCGTACGTGTGGATAATTAAAACTAAAATTTTAGGGTTTTGCACCCTATTTAAACCTTGTGATAGCCTCACTAGGTCTTGTGTAGACACCCTCCATCCCTTATTGTCTAGGAAATCGAACTGTAAGTGAGATCTTGAGAGTTTGAGCCTTAAAGTCTGATTTTTGGTGCATTGTGAAGGAGAAGAAGAAGCGAACCATTTGGAGTTGTGTTTGGAGCTTGAAGATCTGATATTAGCTCTTCATTTGTTGTCCTTGTGAGGTAAAAAGCTTCCATCTTGCTAATCCAAAATGCTAGATCTACTTTGCCATTTTATGCTCTTTGAGTCTATGGTTTGATTGTAGAGCCTTTTGCTTCACCCCAAAAGTGATTGTTGGTAGATGTAGGATCCTTTTGGTCCATTTTTCTATAAAAACAATAAATAAGATCGATAGATTATATATTAATGATGTGATTTAAAGACAACAAACAATGAACAAAAGTATGTCGAATGATTAGATTCAAAAAACTCTAGAAGAGTTCTCAAAGATGGAAGTTCTCTGTGAGAGCGTACCAATGACGTTTAGGGTTCAAAGAAGTAACCCTAATATTTTATATGCATGCACTATATATAGACTAGACTAGATAGTGGATCCAAACATGGACATACCCATTTCCGAATAAACAAAACTATATAAGTACATATTTGACACAATACATTATAGACCTAACAATCTCCTCCTATGTGTCAAATTCACAAGGAATGTCTTCATTGTCTTCTTTTCTCTACGATAAACAACCTTGGCATTAAAATCAGAAGCGTATTTTTGATACATAAGTACCATACGATTATATCCGAGTAGCATTTGAGGTCAGTCGCAGTATTTGCTTTGGATGCTTCAGCTATAGAAAGAATAGTCTTCAGAGCGATTGTGGAGTAAAGGTGTTTGTCTCGTAGAAAGAACATGTAGTTCTGAAGGATATCACCCTCATTTCTTTTATACACTATGCTCCAATGCTATTTTCGGATAATTTCGATTTTCAGCTTCTGAACATCCTTCGTTTGCTCTTCCGGGTTTAGAATGGGCCTCTTTTTTAGAACTGATTCTATTTCGACATCCATCTTCGTAATTTCATGGATGTAGCAAATGAGCATCCTTTTTAAATGTGCAATGGTAGGCTCATACTTCTTTTCCTCTTTCGTAATGATGTGAAACAAGGAGATCCAGTGATATGTGTTCATAAATGGAAGGCCCAACAAAGAGAACTCATCTAGAACGTGATTAGATCCTATGAATCCCTTAAACTTTATATTCACAAAGTCTTCGGTCTGAACAGGAAATCCAGGCTTCACAACTACAAAAATCAAAGACTTCTCTATATTTTCAAAACATTCAAAGAGAAAAGCCCTTGGAGTGATTGGGAAATCAAATTGATTTTCTACATCATTGACTAAGTCAAATGAGATCGAGGGCTCCAGCCAGTAGATGCTTGGCTCATCAATAGCCTCTTTCTGAATTCTCTTCATTGACCAACGAGGAAATAACGCTTTCAGAGTTTCAACCACAATTTTTGCATTCTTAACCTTAACTTCCTCTGCTTCTAATTTCTTCCGAATAGCATAAAGATCATGTAGCTCTATGTCACGCTTCTTTCTCACTAGATTTTCAGAATTAGACAACTCTTCTTCCTCTTCATCATCAATTACTTTCCCTTTTCCTTTCTTTAATGCAGAAGCTTCATTACCCTTCTGATAAGTCTTAGTGTTAGGATTCAGCTGTTGATCAGTTTCAGTTTTAGGCTTTGGATTTGACTGTTGATCAGTTTCTCCCCCTTGTTTCGGAAAATCCTCGCTTCCTGAAACACATTCGATTTGATTAGGCATCACAAAGACTAGTTGCAGCTTGTCGGATAGTTGTTGTCGAACCGAGACAGTGAACAAAGAGTTAGGAGTCTCAACAAGCCGCAACGGATATTGATTTATCCCTGAAAGACAACTTTTAACAATATTCCTCTCATTATCAATATCATCAACATGCTTGGTAGCAATCTTCATTTTGATAGAAAGGACCTTGGATTTCTGAGTTTTCTCAGCTAACTGAACCATGATTTTGTATTCTCCTACCAAGTCTACTTGTAGCTTTTCAATCTTGAAAAGGACGGAGGAAGTGAGTTCAACATTCTCCACTTTAATTTCGGAACGAACGAGTGAAAGTCACCTCCTGAGATAGTTTTCGACTTTTCCAGTCGTTTCTGAAATGGTCTTTTCAGAAGCTTTAATTGCCTTGGATGTTTCTTCAAGGACTTTAGTGTTTACTACTGTGAGCATCTCCACAATAGCTTTATGAGTAGTGAACATGTATTTAAATTTAGATGAAGATCTAGATGTGGAAAACTCTAAAATATAATCCAGTTTTGTTAAGCTTTTTGAACAGCCCTTTTGTGATTAGGGCTTCATCGTCATCACTGTTATTGTTTATGGTGAAAGGGCTGAAGACAAAATTTGTAAATGTCTCCTCATCGTGTCCGAACAAAATGTAATATCCCAAAATTCAAGATAAAAAATTTATTTTCATTAAGTTATTATATAAAATCATCAGTATATAAACATTCATATTAATATCTCATTTCAAAACCAAAGTGTCAATAATAAAAACATAATATCATAAAACCATATAAGAGTGTAATCCCAAAGATCTCAAGTGCAGAAAACATAGTGTGATGTGCGGCGATCAAGCCAAATCATTTCCTTTGAAAATGAGTACCTGAAACCAAAAATGTAAACCGTAAATACGAAGCATAGTGAGTTGCCCCATCATACCACATACCATACAATCACATAGAATACATACTGCCAGGAAATTCTGGGGTGGCCGACCTACCCATGTCAAACCATTCTGGGGTGCTGACCTACACACGTCAAGCCATTCTGGTGTGCTGACCTACCCGTGTCAAGCAATTCTGGGGAGCTGACCTACCCTTCGGTCCTAACAACTGAACTCCCGGGACTATCTCACCCCCTACTACGACTACCACACATATCATAACATAATCATATTGTCAAGCATATCTAGGGTGCCCGACCTACCCTTTGGTCTTTACGACCGAGATACGAGGACTATTTCACCTCCTACTACTACCACATAATATCATAGCATAAACATATTGTCAGGTATATCTGGGGTGCTCGACCTACCCTTCAGTCCTAACAACCGAACCTGGGGACTATTCCCCTCCTACTACCACTATCACATATAACATATCATGCTAACACATAAACATACCATGTAGTAGCAAACCTAGATGAATATCACAAAGACAATCATCTAACATACAACTCCTACTAGTGGGTCGACATTGTGGCCGTAGACATGCTGCTACAGGAAGGTGACTCACCTCACACTGCTGAAGTCCAACAGTCCCAACCCTAGCTGCTGGATGACAGGTTCCCGAACTGTCAACATCAACACAACACCCAATTAATAATTGGGTTCCAACACATGTCCATAAGTCCATGTTGGGGTAAAATACTGCTTTACCCCTATCTTGGCTTGATTCAAGCCTAAGGCCCAATCCAAAGGCCCAAAAGTCAACTATGGGTCAAAGCCCAACACATGGCCCAAGTTTCCAAATTGGGCCCAAACCACTACATGGTCCCACTCTATGGCCAAACCATTTATTCTAGTCTAACCTTTGATATTCTATTGGCCCAATATCATATAATCATTAAGTCCCAAACTATGGGCCTATATATGGCCCATTTTTTCCAAATTGGGCCAAACCCCTCATATGGGCCCTACCCTAAAGTCCATCAAATTATTCTAGTCCATATGATTGTTCTTAAATGGCTCATTATTGGTCCAATCACCAAAGCCCAATGGAAAGGCGCAACTCAAGGCCCAAGTGAAATTAGGGTTTCACATAAAATAACGATTATGGTTAAGTGTCCCTACTTAAACCGTTAAAGACTTAATCTATTAAGTCCCACACGGCCTTAGGTTAATTGCAAATGGTTATTAATTACTACTTTAAGTTCATTAAATAATTCTGATGCGGTCCTAATAAGTCCCAAATTAGGGTTTCATAGCATTAGGGTTTTCCAAACCCTAATTAGGGTTTCCAACCCACATTAGCCTAATAGGCCCAATAACTAGGTCCTTTGACCAATTAGGGTTCATTAGGCCCATTATGATTCCACTATCCACCAAGGCACACTGCTACCCGCCATGGCGGCCGGTGGCGGCAGCCACCACCCTAAGGTGGTGGTTTTCAATTCCCTTTATTATTCCAATTTTTACAATTTACAATGAAATCACAAAATAAACACACACTACACTAAATAAACACACACCCACGACCACCCTTGTGGTGGCCAGTGGTGGCAAGTGACGGCAGCCACCACCTTACGGTGGTGGCCTTGCTGGTTCTCGGTCTTCCAGCTACACTAACAACACATTCACCCACTTCATGTTGCGCTATACACTTCATCCACCCACATGGCGGCTCATGGCGGCAACATCAGACGTTTTGGGATGACAGCCACCACCTCACGGTGGTGGCAGGAGGATTTTCTTTATATCTCTGGCCAAAGGACTCTCATGTAGTCCTAATTATTGCAACATACGCCTACAACACCCTAACACGGACCCAGTTTCACTAGGCCACAAACCCAACCACCATTTAATGGTGGTAGGTGGCTAGTGGAAGGCGTCGGCAAGATGTAGCGATTTTCTGAACGGCGTCAGCAAAGCAGCAAGAACCGGCAGCGGCAGCAGGCGGAGACGAGAGTTATCGAACTTGGCGATGCCATCGGTGGCTGAGGAGAGCTTCTATGGTGATGACAGTGACCGAAGGTGAAGAGGAGGGTGGTGGCCGGTGGGAGACATAAGGGGTGACGGCTGGAGGATTCGTTAGGGTTAGGGTTATGGGTGAATTATATACCCGACACCCTTAAAATCATATCTCCATAATAACAAAAATGCCCCCCTCCCCCCCCCCCCCCCCCCATAGGATTCTTTTCACAGAAAGTCCACAATTTGCACTTTGAACCCTGGCTTTGGAAATCTTCTTCAACTTAAATCCGATAATTACCATGTAAACCTTCAACATTAAAATCCTTTACACCTGAGGTACAAAATTGACTATACAGCCTCAATATCTTAATCATGACATAATCAGCCCTTCCACCTCATTTCCTTTTAAATTAAATTTAAATAATTATCACGGAGCCCCTTGTCTTCATAAATAAGTATAAATTGGGTCCAGAACTTCCACTTTTAACCCTCAACTTCTAAATTATGCCAATTTTCTCCTCGAGGCCATCCTTTGATATATAATTATTTATTTTAGGTCTACCATTCGTTCAATAATTTATTTATTTATCTAATAAATAAATGGGGTGTTACAACTCTCCCCCACTTAAATTAGATTTCGTCCTAGAAATCATTCTATACCATTTCTTATATGCCAAACCAATCTAGTAACATGGTCACCATCTTGGGTACACCCTAGCCTTCCAAGGGTAGTCGTGACCAATCTTTGCGAAGCCCTAAAATCTATAGATGAATGAATTCCTCACAACAAGATGGCATACACTCGATCTGAATCTGCTGTCTAGAAATGGTCTGAATCCCTGGTAGACCACTCATACTAAATCATTATCGTTGGACCCAGTCCACTTTATCCTCTAACTGATAACTGAGGTTCCTACTATAAAACGGAATCACAGACCTAATTATTCTTGCAGATTGATTATAATTAGCCAAGGCTTAGCTAATCTCGCTGCGAGTGACTAATCACTCCCCAAATCATCTAGACATTCCGTCCATACTCGCAACCCGAAGAACAAATGCTAAAACTGCCTACATGCTGAAACTACTTGAACACTGAACTGCCTGTAGCAGTATCCTGCCACATGGCTGCTTTCCAATATCTACCGAGACATCCCTGGTCTCGATTCGTTCAAAGATCATCTGAAATACCGGGTACTGACTCGGCTACGGGTCCAAAAGACCCCTTACTCAGTCGCCTCATACAACTTCTGAACGAATCCTCCTCTAGAACTAGTAGCCACTAGTTATCATGTCAGAGTGGCTTTAACAACCTCCTGATCTAACTGATCGGGTCCATGCATCGATTCCTGTCATCATCCATTCCAAGATTATAAGTGATTGCTACCTGACCAATGGTAGCCTTATCTCACACTTCCTTAAGCATTCCATTGCTTCCTTGATCTCATAGATGTAGTGACGTCCCTTCATGTGGATTTCCATATCCTTACTCCTGCACCCGAACTGGTGGGTACTATTGTTCCTTCTGCGTCCTAACAACGCACTCATGCTATCTACCAACCTAGCAAATGCTACGGCTACACCCACAGAATTACAACACTTTATCACTATCTACCTTCTAGTGAATGCTACGGCTACACCCACAGACTTACAACACTCTAATACTATCTGACTGCTAGTGAATGCTACGGCTACACCCGCAGACTTACAATACTCTAACACTATCTGGCTGCTAGTGAATGCTACGGCTACACCCGCAGACTTACAACACTCTATCATTATCTGGCTGCTAGTGAATGCTACGGCTACACCCATAGACTTACAACACTCTAACACTATCTGCCAACCTGGTGAATGCTACGGATACACTTGCAAATTTACAACACCCCTCACACTATCTACTGCTAGTGAATGATACGGCTACACCCGCAGACTTACAACACTTTATGTACCGGGTCGAACATGCACTCGATGTAACACTTGACTGAACTTTTTTCCTAACTGAAACTCTAACTTGGTTTCCGAAACCTGCTGTCTGAGAGTGTCGAATGCTGTCTGCTGCTCAGGCCCCAACAAAAGGCCACCAAATTTTTGGTCGGTCGGGTCAAAGGAACCGCAATCTCCGTGAAGTCCTGTATAAATCTCCAGTAATAACCAGCTAGACCCAGAAAACTCCAAATCTCGGTTGGAGATCTCATAATCTCCAACAAAATCACAACCTCTATCTTGGCCGGATCGACCAAAATACCCTTCTGGTTGACAAGGTGGCCAAGATATTGCACCCCGTGCAACTAGAACTCACAGTTGGAGAACTTTA